GGTAGAAAACACGTCCATTTGCGTACTGGGTCTTTTTTAGCTATAGTTGTTTGAGTCTTGATTTGTTTTAGTTTATAAATGCGTATTGTCTTGATCTTTAGCGTGATAAAACAAATAAAAATGGTAGATAACACGTTCATTTGCGTACTGGGTTTTTTGTGTCATGATTTACTGCAGAATTAAATGTGCGTCTTGTGTATTGATTCTTAGCTCAATTCAATAAACTTGTTAGAAAAAACGTTCATTTGCGTAATGAGTTGTTACTCTAGTAAACGCCCGTGCCCTTGTCATGCCTCACTGAATTCCTATGTGTTGTCTAATTAAGCGCTAACTATCTCCTATTTAATCCTAACTATTTCACGGGTATATTATTTGCACTCTATATTTCAGTCAAATAACTGTATAATAAGAGAAGGCGACGAAAGATCAATGTTCACGTTGGAATGAATGAAAATGACGTCATTATTCACGTGCACTACTACCACGACAGTCAACATTGAATTATGTTGATAAAGAATCAAGTTCTGATCATATTTGACTGAGAAATAGTCTGCCAAAGATTGTAAAGGAGTTATAAAAACCTGGATAGAGAAAGTGGGTCTCAGAGACGAATTACTGGATGGAAATATATTTGGGAGTTTTGGTGGCGAAAGAGCAGAGGAACATAAAAAACTGAAGGTAAGAGTAATGCAACTATTCCTCGAGTTAGTCGTGTTGATTCATTCGCTTGCCTAATAAAGTTTACAATATTATACACATGTAAGGCGTTCCTCAGAACTGGGCAGTTACCATTGAATGCATAAACCTATCAAAAAAGCATCTATCATCTGTAGATAAATATTTCTATAAGATTGTTTTAGTTTATTTTATTTTTGTGAGAGGTGTGATATCTGCTAGGTAGCAACATGGGTTTCCTGTGTTAATGYAGTTGTACGGGTTATGGGTTCCCTGTGTTGATATAGTCGCCATTAAAAGAATGGGCTCCCTGTGTAAGGGCGAAGATTAGCTGTAAATAGTTRATCTCGAATCTCTCTTGCTTCATCCAAACTTCACACTATCCAGAAAATAATTCTACGTTTATTTATTATCGTTTCTTCCCGAGTTTTTTAAAAAGGACTTGTTTACATTTTTTTCGCGCGATTTTCGTTTACAACTTCAATATTACAATCTAAATTATGTTTAATGCGTTACCATGACAACAAAGTATTTAACCGGTTTTACCGTGTCTTTCAGCGCGCAATGTTGAACTACGCATGCGCTGATTTTGCTATAAGTCATTGATTTTTGCACACACGTTGATCGTGAAAGGGCAGGCAGCACGTGAGAGCGTGTACGAACGAGACAATCGTGTAAGGAACATTTGAGTGTAGAAATGAAATGGATGTCAAATATCCTGTGTCTTTAAGCGCGAGATGTTGAAATACGYATAGGCTGGTTATATTGTTAGCCATTGGAAAACACGTTGATCATGAAAGTGAGTGCAGTGACAGCGCGTACGAAAGAGACGATCACGTCAGAGGAACATTTGCGTGTAATATAAAGCGACAGCTGAGAACAGAAATCAAATGACTCCTTTCATTCAATTCAGGGTTTTTGACACGACTGATAGGTTTAAGAGTGGCAGGGTCACGTGACCTCAGTGTTAGTACTTATGTTATCATTTAGATCAAATCCACTTGCGCGTAATGTTTTGCCCATTTCAGACCACGTGTCATTCCCAAGAGTATCATTTCTTTGTTTAACGGCTGCACATGAGAAGACACATGAATATAGATACAACTCAAACGAAGAATCTTATTTTCAAGAAAATGACACGTGGTCTGAAATGGGAAAACATTACGACAAAATGGATTTGGTTCAAACTTGCAAATATTAAATACAATATTAATACAATTYTAGTTATTGTAAAATAGGGAAACACACTTACTTATTAGGCTTACATACTAGGTTATTTTTATCCCTCGTGTAAAAAAAACCTTGGCGACTAGGAAAATTAGACATTCTTTCTAACAGAGGAAGAAAGAAAGAACTCATTATAGTCAGTCTAAAGGTGTCTAGACGCGCCAAAACCAGCTGATCTTAGAAAAAATATTAGCCAATCAGAATCGACATACGTTTGCAAAACCGAGGTGTCACTTTTCCTCTTGAAATTATGGATTTCCAGGCCCCAAAAAGAAAACAAGAAAACGTTGCCAATAAGAGGTTGGTAACAGTGACACAATTATTAATGAGTTGGTATATTTGTATTGCGCATGCAATGACGGGTATTCTTTTTCTTTTCTTTTTTTTTTTTTTTTTTTTT